CGTCCGCCGAGAACAGACGATCTTTTTCCCCTGGTCGTTAGCGGAAAATCTATTATCTTTTTCTACGCGACAACGAGAAAATCTAAAAAGTCGCGATAGAATGAAACGAGACACGAGACAGAGAGAGGTACGGAAAAGAAAAGGAAGGTTGGTTCACCTACCTCCGATGTCCGTTCCGAAGATCGCTACGATCGTGTTCTTCTCGAAGCTCCTGTTCAGATCCCAGTGATCGAGTTCGGAAAGCACGAACGTTTGATTCAGATCGTCGTTCTCGTCGCGTTCTTTGTAAAACCATAGCTGCGCCGAGGTGACGTCCACGAACTGCATCTCGTTCGGCAAATAAAAGGTGAAACAAGCGGCAGGATTGAAGCCCGTTAAGTGGTTCGATTTCTGTCGGCATTTTTTCGAATCGGCAATACCTGAAATTCGTGAGATTTTCGTGAACCGAACCACGTCGAGGTTTCCCGACTTTCCGCTACGACATCGCGCACGATCCAACGGCAAACCATTCAACGAAAGAAACATTTGGCAAAAAGTATCTATCTATCTCTCTCTCTCTGTCTTTCGTTCCCGTTCTTTCCTCTTGTTGCCGTTACGTTTAGTCGAGTCGAAATAGCGAACGCGGACAAGATATTAGGGAAAGGAAAGGAGAGGAAGCGACGAAATTGAAAATATCGTGAGCTAACCTTCGTTCGGGAAAACGACTATCTGATCGGTTTTCCCATAGAAACTGTCGACAGCTTTCTCCGGTTCGAGCGGTGTACCAGGACGAAGTTCGAGCACGCGACCATTTATCAGAGGCTTCGGTAAGGTCGAGAGCGAGATCGATATCTCGGGCGGCTTCGAGAGCCGTAACTTCTTGAGAATCTGCTGCTTCACGTATTCGACCCTCAGCTCCGTTAAAATCGGATCGTTCGCCAGTAGGCTAATTTTGTTTTGCGTACACCCGACGCAGTTCTCTTCCTCGAACTGCAACGAAGAAGAGGAGGAGGACGACGACGCGGTGGTGGAGGTGGCAGTAGTAGCGGAGGTGGTACTAGTAGAAGGGAAGGAGGAACTCGAATAGGCGGTGGCAGTGGCAGGCGTTGATCGAGAGTAAAAGCTCCACCAAACGGAAGACAAGGGGTTTGCGACCTTGGGTAAAATAGCCTCGACCCGATTACCCACCGAGAGAAGGGAAAGAAGCAGAAGCTGGTCAACGAGTCGCATCGTTGCGAAATCCTTTCGATCGCCGATTTCCTACTCGCCAAGTTCTCCTCCCTATTCCCTTTCCTCTCTCTCTCTCTTCTTCTTTCTCGCTCACTCGCTCTCTCCCACACACGCACGCACGCACTCACACACTCGCGCACACACTCTCTCTCTCTCTCTTGGTTTTTCTGCAAACTTTCACTGATTCTTTCTTTCGAATGCCTTCGGAGATGAGCGCCGATCGTGGAGCACCCGTTTCTTTCCCATCGAGTCACGCTCGTTTATCGATCGTTCGTTCTTTCTTTCCGTCTCCTCGTTTCCCCGCAACACCGATCGCGTTAACTCGAACTCGTCTCGTCCAACGACACTTTCCGTTCGCGCATCCGCATCTTTCTCGCGTCCGGTCCCGCGACTCGCGAAATTTCCTCGGTCAACGGACACGTCCGTTCCAGCGTCGAACGGTTTCGTTTTCGGAGGATTCCTGAGACTCACGAGACACGCCACGGCGCAACGGCTTTTTTATGTCGACCGATCGTTTTCTATCCGCCTATCCGAGCGACCATCCAAGCAACTCGTTCACGAAGACTGAAGACGCATCGTCGAGATGGTTTAGTCACGCATCGGTTCTCGGTACAGTCTGAACTTTGCTCCATAAGCGGGGGGATACAGCGGATTGGACGAAGACGAATCGTTCTGATATCGTCGGTGGAAACACGCGCCACGAACATGCTTTTCTTTCTTGGCTTTTTCACCTACATTCTCGAGCGCTTGCTCGCGATCTCCGCGATCTCGGAGAATTCCAAATTACTCGGTATCTCGTTCGCCCGTTCACCCTGCACGCTTTTTATATCGTCGCTCGCGGATCTCTCCTCCGAGGCGACGCGACTTCCTTTTCCTCGTTTCGAGCATCGACCACGGTCGGTTCGTAGCTTACGCGAATTGAAAACACGAGCGCGCTGTCGATTTGCGACTGGCTCGAATTCCGAATCAGGAACGAGAGCCCGTTACGCGTCTCGCCCGGATAAACCGATGAACCGACGAACCGATGAACCAATGAACCGATTAGCCGATAAACAGATAAGCAATCGGTCGTTAGGTAGACGCACTTTCGACGACCGAAGCGTTCGCGTACGCGGGCCGATTAGTGGCTCGGAAAGCGTCCAACAGGTAGTTGGATCGACCCTCCTCTCGCCGCGCCGGAGGAGATTCTCGTGTTCGACTTGGGCGCTGTCCGAAAGAAGGAACAGGGACGAAATAAAAGACGGTAGGTCGTTACGAAGTTTAATCGTTGTTACGTATAGCATCCTCGATATTCCAAGTGTTATACTTTTGCGTACGCCGCGTAATTGGCTACGCCACAGCGATTTTTCATCTTAGCCAGACGCATGTAACCATTTTCACCCCATCCGTCGCCCCACCAGTTTTTCAGAATCCATTCGGTCGGCGTATAACCGACGATCAGCACAGCGTGATTCACCATGTCCGAGCTACAAAGTTCGTCGTCGTAAACTCCGTTGCTGCGAATCAGATCGAAATTTTCGAGAAATATCGAGAGAAGAGTAAAAGAACGTGTTACGGTTCCGAAACGCGAGTTCAGTGCCTTCGATTCGTTTAGGCTGTCTTTTGGGGTCATCGCGCAAACGATGCACCAAAGGTTATCGCTTAACTGGATCAATTTCTCCGTGTATCCACGAGAAGGGGACAAACACGTTCGTTTCCTTGTACTCCCTCTCGTATACGTTATCGTTCTTTCTCTCGCTGTTCCTCCGCCGGAGGACAGGAGGATGGTAACGGCTACAAGCAAAAGGTACACGATTCGCCGAGCGAATGGCGAGCGAATGCCGAGCGAATGCCGAGCGAATGCCGAGCGAATGGCGAGAAAAAAAGAGAAATAGGAAAAATACTCACTGATAAAGTTGAAACGTCCTCGGGCTGGCGTTTACCGAAGCAGCTATCGGGCCTATCGTCGCTACGGCAGCTTCCAAAGCTTTCTCGTCGCGTGCCGGTAACACCGCCCACGAGGTCACGTTCACGACGCTCAAGTCCTCTTGAAAACGACACCGGCCTTGCTGTTTCGAATACGAGTAAATCTCTTTCTTCACGTTCGAACTATGTATACATGCACGTATATCGCTGTGTTTTCGTCGAAATTCTAATTTCTCCGCGTAACACGTACGTCTCGCGCAAAAATTTCTCGGTTACGTCAGCCGTGTACGAATCGACGCAGCGTACCAAGTGAAACGTTACGAAAGAGCAAAGCAAAAAGTGTACAAATCTTATATCTTAGGAGTAAGAAAAAATGGAGGAAAATCGCGTTAAAAGGGAGAAGAAAATTCATACTTTCGCTTTGTAAGGATAATAAGCTTGACTCATTAATCCTTTCGCCTTCTCCAGATATCTCAAGGTATTTCTCAGAGATCCCCCGGAACAACCCAAATTGCCGGTCGACGTGCTGCAGTCGATCAGTTGCTGTTCGCTGAGCGGGATCAACGCACCGGTTCGCTTGAAAATTTGCCCTTGGATACTGCCAGCTATCGAATAGGCGTAACAACTTCCGCAGTTCCTCTGATTTTCGGCCGGAGTGACGAAGCCGAGTTCGCGCCAGTCGATTCGCGAGGGAACGAGGCCAGGATCGCTTAGTGCCGCTCCTACAACGCTGTCCGTCGACACTCGACGCTTGCGACTCGGAATCAGTTTCACCTGCGTTCACAAAGTCGAATCTTGAGAAAATTCAACGAACGAGGCTTCCTCGATCGGGTGATAGCGGGGCTATGAGCTACTCACCATTTCTCGAACGTACTGTCTGGTTCCGAGATCGGCGATGTGATTGTCTCTCAAAGTGTAGCTATGATGACCGGCAGCTGCCATCATGTTATGCTTGTAGATAGTCACTAGATTCTCCTCCCAACTCGCCCTTCGGTCGGTCTCCTCGCTTCCGGAGTAACTCTTGTTGTAACGAGCCTGTTTAGAAGCGAACGCCGAGGAACAATCATCGATCGATACAAGTCGATTCGGAGCGGATTCAAGTTACCGTAACGTTCGCGATACCTTGTACGAGTTCCAGTACTCGTTCAGCTTTGCCGATATTTCCGGTGGGAAACGCTGCTCCTTGCCAAACACTCGGAGGACGCTCCAGATCGCTATCAGAACGATCGGAAATTTCGAAAACCGAAGACGCATCGCTTATCGAATCGTTTTTGTCCGGCAGTTGAACGGTCGATCGACTGGCTCGAATATTTCTTGACCGTTTCGATATCGCTCCCGATAATCCACGGGTCATTTTCAGGACGCTCGTCAGCGATTTTACAAATTTCGTCAACTCGGCCAACCGCAAAAACGACGCGATCGCGCGAAGCTTGCGACATTTCCAATGTTTCGTATATTCCTCGAAGTTGGCGTAACAACCGTCGTGGCATTTTCACGGATACATCTGCGCAGAAGATTACTCTCGCTTTTCGTTTTCGTCTTCGTCCGTTCGACTCTGAAGACGATCGGACCGATTATGTCCGGGTTTCTTGTTCGAAGCCCGATACACTTTGGAAACGATAAGCAGAAGAATCGGAGAAGAGATAAGAAAGAGCGAGAAAAAAGAAACGGCGATTGCGGGAATCGCTATTACAAAATGCATCGAAAAGTAAATAGGAGGTTCGTATTTGTCGTCGAAAAAGGATTGCAGCGTTTACCGCGAGATGGCTGCACTCGCAAAGAATCGCGAACGAGCGAAAAAAGAATAGAGCAAAGATCAGTCGCGAGCCGCGTGGAATTCGCGCGCCCAGGTTCGAGAACCCATTTCCTTTCTTTTGTTCGTTTCGACGCGCGGTATTTGTCACCCCGTCCGGTGACAAGAACGTTCTCGCGTTCCACGGCAATTTTCTGATTAAAGTTTGTCCAGGTCGTCGAACCGTACGGTCATCGGTCTACCCGACGACACACGACGATCCCCGTTTATCCGCTTTCTCTCGCGCGTCGTCCGCGTCAGAGGTCGGGGATAACGATCTACTCGCGCTTGTTCTCGGGCAAGCATCGATCGTCTCGTATCGAGCATCGAGCAACCGGTGGCGCGATTAAACGCGGCGTTCGAGTAGGAAAGAGAGAAAGAAAGAAAAATTAGTCGAGCGAGAGAGAAAGGGAGAATTGGCCGTTCGCCGCTGAACGAGAACAAGTGGCTCTCGTAGTTGTCGCGGGACTCGCGGTCGTCTCGTCTCTCCCGTTGGTCGGTTCGGCGATTATCGGTCGACACGCGTTCGTCTCGGCTCGTGTCAGTGGGGAGGCGCCACGCTAGAAAGCAAAACTCGGGATCGCCGCGACGCGTCGCCGTCTCGATAATCGCGGTCGTTTCGTCGGCGAAAGAATCCAAGGTCCGTCGTTTCCACGAAGACGAGTGGCGTCGCGACGCGGCGTGTCGCGTCTTTTTCGCGCAATCGGGAACGCCAGAATGGACGAATCCGGGATCGACATGGGTTTCGATCTGGCAGCTTTGACGGCCGATCTGGAGCACCGGGAGGCGAGTTTACGCGATCATCGATGCGCGAACAAAGAAAACGAAATTTGAAAATGATCGTTCGAAACGCAACAATTCTGACAAGTTCGTTTTACTTTTCACGTCGCGTGAAAAGAAAATATTTGTTGACGACACATGCGTAGACTAGTAGAATAGTTGGATCGTGTAATTGTTATCGATCGAACGAACAATTAAATTAATGTACGGAAAGGGAACGGGAACGGGAACGGGAACGGGAACGGGAACGGGAACGGGAACGGGAACGGGAACGAGAACGAAACCGGAACCGACCAACACGACTGGGAACAAGCTCTGTCGTTTTTGTCGTCGCCGTTACAGGACATCATGTACTACGAGTTAAAGAGCCGAACACCGAACACCGCCAGGTACGTGATCGAGTCTCGTTCGCGGAACAGTTTGCAACGTCATCGGAACGCACCGTAGACGGTGCAGCGGTGAACGAGTGCACAGCCTCTCGGATCTCGATCAGCGGTCGATAAGTTTCTTCTCGCTCTCTTCGGTTCGACTCGGATCCGCTCGATTCCATTCGGGCCAACTCGGCGATTCGTTGCACGCTTCTCCTCTCCACTCGGCATTCTCCGGTATTCGCGACGACTCTCGATCTCGATTCGAGTAAAAGCGATCTCGCGCGAATATGCAGAGATTCCTCGAACGCGAACACGGAGGATAACACCTATCGTACGAGGAGAAAATTCGACGCTCGTCGTCGCGACGGCAGGGGACAAACGATTGGCGCGAGTACGCGAATGCGCAAAAGTCGCGCGCGATCGACGACGAAAACGGCCGGGACAGAAAGAGGGGTTAACGAGGATCCATCCAGGTTTAGAAGCAGAAACGTCGGTTTTCGTCTACTGGCACCCTCTTCGTCGACGACGACGATAACAACGACGGCTAGGATGTTCGCGACAACGAGTTATATATCGCTTTAGTATCGGCCAGTCCGACCGCGGAAAGTTTCCGTCTTCCTCGAAGGATATGCAACGGATACCGAAAGGAGTGCGACGAGTCGTTGAATCGGAGGATATAGTGTCGTTTCTGAACCGAACCGATTTCGCGAGTATTATCGGGACATTGACTGGAAGAAAGAGAGCGAGCAAGTCCGCGAGAAGAAGCGCAACGACGGCGACGAACGCACCGTCGAACTGGACGACGTGTTTCGTCGAGCCGGAATTCGAGCCGGAATCGGGGATAAAAGTGGAAAGGCCGACGGCGAGCGGATCGGCATCGGCACCCGAGTCGGCGTCGATGCCACCGTCAACGCAGCTATCCTCGTCGTTCGGCTCGCTTCCGTTATCGCGCCTTTATGGTCAAGCGAAAAACTGGTTGTCGTCCGCTTGTCCTACGCGCGCGAGCACCGGATATCCGAGCAGCGCCGTTGGAGGCGGCGTCTCGGTCGGTGTTCCTGTGACCGATGCCGCCTCGTTCACCGGTCAGGATCGTCCGCGAGAATCGACGGAGCAACATAAGCAACGCGTACGCGTGCACATCGGTATCGACGACGATCTTCGTACGATCCTCGAAATGGATCCGTCGATCGTCGACGGAACGGTCGAAACGAACGGAACGGCCTTATCCGAGGCATCGCCATCGACCGATGCTTCTCGCAGCAACGATCGCGTTACGTTCGCACGCCCGTTACGTCCCATTCGCCCGCAAGGCTGGTACAGAACTGTTACGACGGTTCGAGGTTTACCCGATACGTTTTACGTGTTTTATGCCCCATCGTTGTCTGCCGCCCTCCAAACGTCCTAGCCTTTCCATATTTCCCTCGTTTCTCGTTTCTTCCCGTTTATTACTCTTCGCCTCGCTCGCGTAGCTCCTATCGGTGGTGCGATGTCGTTTTTCGATCGACATCGGACTCGTCGCGGACCTCTCGGCCGAACTCTGTTCGCACCTTTTCTTTAACCGCGCTCTAGCTCCTCTCCTCGACCGTAAACATTGCGTCTAAATATAAGCGCGGCCTTGGTTCACGCGCGCAAAAAGATCTTTCGTAAACTTCGCGTGTTCGATTCTCTAGCTTCCGTCTCGCGGTCCGAGAAAGAGGTTTCCCCCGACAGCGCGCCTATCCGATAAAGTGTCTGCCTTCGAAACGTTTTCCCGGTCTTTCTTCTCTTTTCCGAGATCTCTTTTCCGAGATCGAGATCGAAAGTTGGCTAAGCGATCGGCGCTTTCGATGCGAGTCGGAAGAAAACGTAGGAAAACGAGGAGAAAGAAGGAAGGAAGCAAAGAACGCGATTCGGAGGACAAGAATCGAATCTCGATCCAAATTGCGTAACCTCACTATTTTAGTTTTCTTATGGCCATCGCTTGGCCCTGTTCCCAAATCGGTAATACGAACTTTCCACGTCTCCGCGCGTTAACGCTTATCGTCGCAAAGAAAAACGCGTATTCGCCTATACTAGCCACGCCGCGGGAATACTTTCTCCGTACGAAACGATCCTGCTCGATCGATCGAAACTCAATAAATACTCGAGCAACGTCGAGAAAAGTTTCCACGCTTTTTATCGCGCCCTCGAGGAAAAGCGACCGCGAATGTCCAAGTTAAAAATACGCGCGTATCGATCGAGTAGCCAAACGCGTTCGTTGATCGCGCGAAACGAGCAAACGAAAATAAAGGAATAGGGTAAAGCGGACGGAAGGTGGCGAAGGTAGGAGGAAAGGAGGAAAGGAGGAAAGGAGAAAACGAGAAACGAGCCGCGTAAAGATTCGTAAAGGATCAGTTACGTTGTCGATCGTGACGTCGAATCGTTTTCGATGATTATGTTTTTCAGCCCACCGACGTTCAAGACCGCGACGCCCACTTCTCGCACCCAATTGAAGCTCCAGCTGATGCGGGAACAGCTTCAGGAGCAAGAGAGACGAGAAGCTGAATTTCGTCAGAGTTTGCAGCAGCAGAGACCGGCGGCTGCTCCTCCTAGACCCGTACCCTCCGCCTCGTTGTCGACCATCGGGGTGGACGTACCGCCGCAAGTCTTGCAAGTATGTTCTCCCTTTCCTTTATTTCCTCTTCGCTCTTATCTTCTATCGCCGCCGCGGCGATCTCTCGTCGACAATTTACTCCTCGAATAAGAAGCAAACCAGTTCGAGTAGACAGAGAAAACTGAATCCGTGCTGTTTACAGGTACGAACGCTGTTGGAAAACCCGACGCGATATCACGTGGTTCAGAAGCAAAAGAACCAAGTCAGGCAATACCTACACGAGTCGTTCCACGGTGGCAGCGAAAGCACCGAAAACGATAATGTTCTCCGTGGAAATTCGGCGGAAAGCGTGCCAACGTCCTCGACGATGGTGGTTCACAGCGCGCCTCCGGGACCGACGGTGCATCATCCGAAGCCGCAGCATCCTCATCTGGCCTCGTATCCGCACGGTCCAACGGTATTGTCGCACGGTAATCCGGTCGCGGCCAGTCCAGACCCGACGACCGGTGCCATGTCACCGGGGCTTTCCAGCGTCGCGACCAGCAATTCCGAGGTAATCCGCCTATCCACCGTCAACCTACTAGATCGCTTTAATCGAGTCGTTTCAGCGTCGCGGTAATTGGTAGTCGAAAGTTTCCTCGGCGGCGATCGCTTTCTTCTTCGTTGGTATTCGCGTCGCGAAGGTCGCGAAGAATCGTCGATCGATCGGTACCGTAACGATACGTATACGAGCGTATACGCGTTCGAGCGAAAGTTACTCGAAAAGGGCGCGGTGCGTCCGAAACTCGTAACTCGTATCGCGATCCTGGCGGAGAATTTTCACGAGGACAGGATCCAACGAGACGAGACGAGAGACGATGCGCCGCTCGCTGAAACGAGTGCTAGAGAAGAGACTAGAATGAAACTAGAAAAGAGACGGGGCAAAGAGAAACGACGGTACACCTTCGAGAGAAAGAGATGGAGATCGCGAGCGGACAAAGGCAGGAACACCAGTACTGTTCGGTAGATAGCGGTCGTTAAATAACGAGGAACGCGCTCGGATGGAGGAGGGAGAAGGGTGCGAAGCGGGAGAGATAGCGACAAGCAGGCGTGGGGCATCGTGGAGTCGGTGGCGCGTGTCGCGTGGCGCGAGTTGGAGCGGTAGCGAGCTCGAGCGAACAGTTCCGAGACGATCCGATCGAAGTTGCAACGCGCGTACAAATTTTACGGAGAGAGGCTCGCGTCGCGGTCGTTGGACGTGCGTTCGTTCTGTCGTCGACGAGGAGTGTTTCGTGTTCGTTACTCGATTCGTCTCTTCGGTTCGTCGTGGGCAAGAGGCGCGCGCGCGCGACCGCACAGAACCACGGAATATCCTTTCGCGACCGCGAATTAATTCGTTGGACGAAATCGCGCGATTCCCGAGACGGCGTGGCGCGGTGCATCGCGGCCAAGCGTGGTCGCCGCGTCGCGTCGCGGCGGTAACAACACCGGCTTTGAACGCGAACAATGCGAAACAATCTTGTTTCGTTCGCGCACCGGTAACAACCATGAATCAGTGTTCTTCTTCTTCTTCTTCTTCTTCGCGATAATCGCGATCGCTGCGAATCGCTGCGAACCACCGCGAACGATTCCGTGCTCGATCGTCGACGATTCTCCGCTTCTTTCGTTTGACTCTCCGTGCCCCGCTAACATCGAGAAGCGCGTTATTGGATAACCGCGACCTTGAGGTACGTTTAATTCGTAGGTAGTCGCGACGGAGAAGCGCGGTAACGCGAAGAGAAAACGCAAGGTTGCCAGGAACTGGCGCGCGGCATCGACGAATCGCGTTACCCCGAAAAATGCGTCTGTTCTCGTTCCAAGCGATCGCGTTCCCGTTCGCGACCGCGCCCGCGCTTGCGTCCGCGCCTGCGCCTGCGTACGCCCCTACGGCGTTCTCCTCGACGTTATCCTGACGAGAATTTACTTCCCTCGATAGATTCGCGCGCGATCCTCCTCGTACTTCGGTTAGGTTGCTCCTCTCGATTCGGATGTCCGTCGTTGCTCTGGCACGGTTGCTCCGAACGCCGAACGAATCGAATAACGCGCGTTCCTTCGTTTTACGCACGAAAAGCGGAGTTGCACGCGTCGTGGGGCGAACTCTCGACGATCGGTTTCGGGACCTTCTTCCTCTCGCTCGCGCGTTCAGAGTCGGCCGAAAGAAGACTCGTCGCGTCTCGGCGTGCGCCGT